CCCTTGGTAGCCTAGGTTATGGAGCCCCAAATCATGAACAAAATCCCGAAGGCTAATGGCTTATGCTGCATTCCACCCTATCCAGACGTTCACGAATGCACGGCGCACCCATACGTTTGTTGGTCCAAGTGAACTGATCCCCTTGGTAGCCTGGGTCACGGAGCCCCAAATCATGAACAAAATCCCGAAGGCTAATGGCTTATGCCGCATTCCATGGCCGACCCCCATCTTTTTCTCCCTCATGGAGGGTGGTGTTAAAATCGCCTATGATCACAAAGGGGTCATAAATAGTCGCACAAACATCTCGCTGATGAGCCAATTGGTTGGCTCGAACAACAACATTACAACTAATGTAGACAAAAAACACCAAATAAGAAAAATCTCCTTCATTAATTTGGGAACAAATATAGAAATTGGAATACCAAAACACCGAAGTGTCAACTCTGGGGGCCCAAGCGACTACTAACCCACCCGATGCATCGACTGCATCAACAAAAAAAACAATGAGAACTATCAAAACCTAAACCCCGCATACGGCGGGACACTACACGGCGACTCGATCGTGTTTCAGAGAAAAACACTACATCCGGTTTATTAGAATGAACAAGCCCTACAACAGTTTGGAAGGTGAGGGATGGCCCAATTCCTCTCACATTCCAGGCCAGAAGCCTCATTTATCGGCTGGGGGCCACTCGAGGCTGGCTTCGTCCACCTTTTCCGGAACATCCGCTGATTCCACAAATTGCTTCTTCGGGGTAGGAGGGTCTCCCACATCCCCCTCCTCCTCGAACACACATTTACGATTCTCCATGATTGGGTCCACCAGATTAGACCAAACTCATTCAGGTTCATGCTCACCCCCTTCCGGGGAACATTCTCCACCTGCCCAATGCTAAGCCCTGCTTCAAAAGCCTCCACCACTTGGTGAACACGTCCTTTCATGACTTGGGAGGTCTTCATGGAGGCACCAGTAGGAGATCGGCGCTTGATTTCAAAAGAATGAGACTCCTCCAGCGATGGATCTTCATCAGAGTCAGAGCCCTGCTGGTGATCCACCAAATTGGGGTTATCAAGAGTAGCCCCAAACTCCTTATCTTCCAGATCCTGCAAATCACTAGGTGGAGTAGCGTCCTCAACCTGGTTGGACATAGTCAGGGGGAAGCTAGCTCCTCCTTTTCTAAAGCGTGGGCGAACCCGAGGTGCCGAGCCCCCTGGCTGGGTCACGGTCTTGGGAGCATCCTTCTTTGTTTTAGGCGTAGGGACCGCATTCTCCTCCTCCTCAGATTCCTCCTGTAAAATCAGTCTACGCCTTCGAGATTGCTCGAGAACCACCTCCATAGGGTCAGCCTCCATCTGTTGAGGGGAGCCTGTTTCATGCGCCTACTAGGCTGCTGGCGGCTCTTAGTGTCCTGTTGAGGAAGAGTGGTACTCTTTCTAGGCGACAGCTTCCTCGTGACTTCTTGAAGCTAAACCTTTTTGGGCTATTAAGGTCTCCGGCCATCTGGTTGGCTGGTTCTCGTAGCCTAAACTGTGTCTTCTTTCTGGATTGACCTTCTGATTCTGTAGACCGAGCATGGTACACCCCTAGAGCCTGAGTATTCGCAGAAGGCACCCGTGGTCCCTCCTCCACTCGACCCCTGGCAGTCCGTGCATTTCCCATCCTCCTCCATGTATATCTTCCGCCCGAGCTTCCTTGTTGACATATGCGGGCCAAAGCGTTCTTTCCCCGGAGGGGGATCAAACACACAGTCGCGCTTGGAGTGGCCCACGCGCCCACAGTGGAAGCAGACGGTCAGTAGGAACTCATACTTGAGATTTACCCAGAAATTGCCAAGCTCCTCGCTTACCGCCATGAGTTGGGATCGCAGAGGCTTTGTAAATCAATGAGGGCATGCACTTTTACAAAGCACTCTTCCGTCTCCTTAGACGCAAAGACATCAGCTTCCAAGACCTGGCCGATAGTCCCAGCTGCTATTTTCCAGCCAAACTGCTTAGTGCAACAGTCATCTTTCACATTCCAGAGTTGAACACGAAAGGGGGCAAAGGCTAATTCATCGAAGGTGAGCCTTGAAATGGATGGTGTCCAGGATCGGAGATGAAAAATCCTGTCTTTGACTATCTAGTGCGTTCTTTTCAGAATCCACACCCTTGTTTCATCACTTGGAAGCACCACTTCAAATAAGCCAAATTGAGTGAGTGAAACCCTAAGGTTTTCTTTCACCCGCCATGCTTCAACAAGTCCCTCTTTCAACTCTGTGGTAGTGAACTTGGCCTCCAAAAAGAGCCTTCCCAGAAGGGTCCTAAAAGTGCGAAACCTCACAGATTGGACCTTCTCAAGTGAGAACTCGACCACTTCATCCTCAGCAATTCGCGACATCGTATTCACCTGACAAGCATGGATAGATAAATCGTTAGATGCAATGGGTAGGGTCGTGTCTATCGTTTGGGATTGATGATAGCATGTCAATGGGAATAAATGTGGTGCTATTATTAGCAAGGGCATTAGAGCTAAAAGCCAATCCCGCCGACTGCATCCCAAGGGAATTTGAATAAGAATTAAACTTCCCGAAGGCAAGGATGTCTCGCTCAACTAAGACGAGAGTTTGGGGAGTAGCTGGGATCACCGACTCAACCATTGATAGCGGCGGCGGATTCCTAGCGGCCATCGGCCAGGAAAGAAAGTTCCACAGGGCTGGGGAGTCTTGCGCGACACCGCCAGAAGAAAAAGGAAGGGAACGAATCCCTGTACCTGACACAAGTGCGGTAGCCGACCACTGCTTGCTGGGAGTAATCGCTGACCTCGTCTTTGGAGAAGGCTCCCAACTTTGCTCTCTGCACAATGGGAGGGGAGCTATCGGTAGAGGGGTTTTATAGGGCCGAGACCCCGAGTTCCCCAAGGGAAAACGTAATCCCCAGTGGCTATCATTAATTAGAATTGCAATAGGACTCGGAAACATCTGCCGCGGGATACCATTTTGATTTCTGATGCGGATATTCTTTCCGAGGATCCCGCTCAACAGAACATGGATTTTTGGAGCAGACCTAATTGGAAACGGCCAGCTTTTTCGCGGCCACACCAGCCGGCGCTGGAGATCGGCAATCGCAGTCCCGTCGTCCCTCTCTATTTCGGCGGCGCTGGGATTAGAGGGATTTTCTTGGCTCGTCGTCGTCCTGCTCCCCGGCGACACGCAGGGAGCCCCATCTCCCAAGGGGATGCTGCAATCGACTGAGTTTTCCCTTTTCGATTTCACGTGGAAAATCCCCTCCCTGAAGGGAATTGACTGAACTAATTCTTCCAGAGGAGCAAGGTGCTCAATCCTAGCCTCTGTTTTCTGCGTACTCCTCCCCGCGAACGGGGTTATCACAGGTTCATCTCCATCCATCTCAATTTCCGCAGGGACCTCAATTTCCGCAAAAGCCGACAGCCGCGATCGTTTAATCAGGCATCACCGCCGTGCTGTGCGCCATTCCACCCTCCGAGCAGCCTTTACCGGCGTAGGTGCCACGACAACAGGGAGGCAGAGACCGATTTCATTTTTGATTGGGATACCATTCCTTCCCTTAGCCTGGGTACAAACAGGAGCCGGTTTTTTGAGTCCATCATCGTTGATTTGGTTCCGCCAACTCGACTTGAAGACAGCGACGACGGCCCGAGAGATCCATCGTCCTAGCAGCGAGCACAGGAAGAGGAGAGAGGAGAGAGCTCCTCCATAGCAAAAAAATTTTCAAAAATCCTTTTCCCGATGGTAAGCTTAATCTGAATTATAGCATGATTAGATTTGTTAACTTGCAATAATAAAAGGATATAAAATACTGTTAACCCTTTTTAATATAACTTCTCTAGGAGTGTTGACGAGGGAGTCATTTTGCATACTAAATATGGGGTTGTCAAATTGGTATTGGTCGAAACTTTACTGAAATTGGGTAGTATGTACCAATAGTCTAATATTAGTTAAATTGTACTAGTATTGATTAAATTGTTATTGGTGATAAACAATAACAATTTAATCAATACTAGTACAATTTAATCAACAAAGATTCAAACTCGATTTGATTTGTATAAGTCCACAACTTTTTGAGTCACCTCCTTCAATGAATAAGAACTTCTCATTTTTAATTTTTTTTGTTGAAAATTTTAAATTATTTGGTTAGACATAAATTAAAATCACATAACTAAACTAGTTTTGTGTCACCTTGCCTTCAATTAATAAGAACTTCTCATTTCTCCTTGACATTACTATCGGAGATTGGACCAGATTGGATGCGGCCCGATTTTTGGTTACTCTAAAATTTATATATTAGTTTCATAAAAATGGTTACCTCTTCAACATATGATTACCACAAAATGTTGGTTGGAAATAATTATTGTGACCAATAAAAATGAAATTTTTTGAACAATTGATTGGGTACATTCCTTCCAAACCAAAAATGATTGTGGTGACCATAAAATATTAGTTAGGATAAGAGTTTCACAACCAAAAATTTTGGTTCCTTAAAGGTTGATTACATTAGTTATAAAGAATATTTTGTAACCAAATCTTTTAGTCTTAAATAATGGTTTTTATTTGGTTGGTAAAATATATTTTAATTGGTTAATTTTTATAATATTTGTGACCAATCAGGTACTTTTCCGTGACCTTTCCGAATGAGTTGTTATAACCAATGAATTTGGTTGCAAAAATATTTATTTTGTGGCCAATTTGTCATTTCGTTACAAAATATGAAACGGGAACATAAAACACAAAAGTATCACCAAATTGAAGCAGAAGAAAAAAAAAAAAGTTGGTGGTAGAAATAAAATCAATTAATCATCAAGAGAAAGTCCAGTTCCTTGCAACTTGAATTGCGTGAGTTGGTCAATGCGCTCAGCCATCTGAGGAGTCAAGTAGTTCTTCCAGTCCCCAACGGTTCCTTTCCTGAAGAAGTGGGCATTTGGTACTCAGACTAGCTCCAGTACACCATTCTTGTTAACCTCCAACTCCTTTAGCCTACCCAAATTGCTACGCCACAACACTTTCTCCACCCACCACCACCTCATCATCATCACCACCCGCCGTCGATGTCGAGAAAAACGGCTTCATAAATGAAGCGAGCTTCCTGACCTGCTCTTTGGGCTCTCTGCACAGGTCCTCGTACTTGAGAAACAACACCTCCTCGGGTCGTCTCCGACTCTCTTCCCAATATCCCACCGTAAAAAGGCCCGAAAGGCACAGCCCCGCTGCAGAAGCTCTCCACCGCTCGCTCCAGGAGGAACGACTCATAACCACCACGGGTGAACAGCTTGTTGTAGAAATGCCACATCAACACCACCGTGTCCTTCGGGTTACGAGCTGTTTACACCTATAATAATTTTGGCCCAAATTAAATGCCACATTAATTAGTTTCGGTATTTAATTCGATGTCGTATGACAAAAAAAAGGTATCGTTTGATGTTGAGCGGCATCGCGGAAAGTCTAAACGACACCGTGAAGAGGCTCGATGGTACCGCGGTGCTGGAAACGACGTTGTTTGATAATAATAAAAAAAAACAATGTCGCGAGTAACAGCACCGTTCAGTCAATGTTGGTATTACTGTTGGAAAAGGATTTTTATTATTTATTCCTTGTCGGAAGGGGAGAAGCGATACCGCGTGGAAACAAGCGGCATCGCGGAGAAGTAAAACGATACTGCAAATTTAAAAACGGTACTGCTGTGCTAGCAAACGACAGTGTTTAAAATATTTAAAGAATGTCGCCAAAGGAAAAGCCAACGAAACCGTTTTGGGGAAGGAAACGATACCGCGAGCAAGCCCAACGGCACCGCAAGACGGAGAAAAACGGTACCGTTTGGTAGAAAACAATGTCGCGGAATGAAAAACGACATTGTTTGATGGGATCGGGACGGAGCGGTTCAAGGTCGGCATCGATTTGTGAAAAGCGATGCCGCAAAAAGATTAAACGGTGCTGAGGGATGAGAATACAATAATGAGCCGATTTAATTAATTAATCTTTTTAATAATTATTTTAGACGGTGTTGTTTGGCTGAAAACAACGCCGCGAGAGAAAACAACACCGCGGATTAGAAAATGACAGTGTTTAATATAAAACAATATCGTGGAGTAAAAAAGCAGATAGAGTTGTTTGGGAAAGAAAACGACATCGCGTGAGAACCAACGACGTTGCATGGTAAACAATTTCAGCGGTCAACAATGCCGCAGAGTTAAACGATGTCGCAAATTCAGTTTGTGAATTTGACAGTGATGCGAGCTCAACAACATCGCGATGGGTAACATCACCGATCTCAGCGATGTCGTGAGGTTAGTTATGCAATGTCCCGAGTCCGAAAATGGCGTGGAGTTTAATTACCAACACCGTTGCGGGTCTTGCAAGGGCGCGGTTTCAATTAATAATGCGGTTTTGTTATTAATTTCGTGGCTCAAATCCATGACGGTATTGCGGCCATGAAATAACAACGTCGTGGTTCGAATCGCGATACCGGTTCTGGGCTTAGGTAATTCACACGTGTGTCTCATGTAGATAAAAGTGGAGGTTGGAGATGCAGTGTCGGCAGTTTACAACGGTGCAGCGACGATTTGTTCTTTCACGTAAGATTCACGCCAACTAGAGCGAGGAGGAGATCAAGGCGGTTGAGACACGTGGGAGTTCACCACGGAGCAGTTGGGGAAGCGGTTTCACGGAGCGTGAAGACTACGAAGATGCTTTTCGAATAAAAGCACCAGAGCAAGGAGAGATAAGGGACAACCAAAAATCAACACAGAAACACATCTGTCAAACTTTACCTTTTTTTCTCTGTAACTCCTTCGCGGAGCTCTCCTTCCAGGAAGGATCTCCATAGTCATAGTCGTAGCGTAGTCGCGGAGCTCTCCACAGGAATCTCCATAGGAGTAGCGGTAGCGTAGATTCCTCAAAACTCAAACACTCACGTTCGAACGTAGTTTGGAGAGGTGCAAACCGTAGTAACGGTCGCGTTGGTTAGAAGTCAGAGGTGCATCGATCAGATCAACATCGCCCGGCGGTGGATATTTGACGGTCACGTTGATTTCACCATTCAGAGGTGCATCGATCAAATCAACATCGCCGACGCCGCTGGTGGATATTTGACGATCGTCTCGATTTCATCAGTCGGTGGTGCGTCCGATCAAACGGCACCGCAAAGAGTTTTCGTCGCAAAACATCGAATCAACATCGCCGGAAACCAAAATCGGCACCGGCGGTGGTATTTGGTTTTCCTGAGGAAACAATTTGGCACACCTGGTGGGACGCGTGTGTTTGAAGTGAAATATGGCTCTGCGGCATGGAAAACACAACGTTGATCTTCCACAAGAATCTGTGAAGGTGGAGTGTGTGGCCGGCATTGAAGTTGGTCGAGCAGATGAGGCAGATAGACATATCGGTTGGATGAAGGAGTGGCCCCAATCCATGTCGAGCACTGATGGGCATGATGCAATCCTGTCTCTTCGTCGATCTGTAGAGGAGTATTACCGGCAGGTAAATCTCTATTTTATCTGTTTAAATAAGCCTTGTGATTCTCTTGGAAGACATATGGATAAATTTTTTGAGATGATAGATGATCATGTTTCCGATATTGCCATTAAGGATTCACTTAAACCTGTGGCTAAAACAGTGTCATTAGGGGCCAACAAATCTCATGTTGTTTCTCCTGTGAACACTATTGTTTTGAAGGACAGAAAATTTAGAGCTGTCTTGCGAAAGCCACAACAAAGAACAAAATTTAAACGTATTTATAATAAGTTTCAGAAAATTAGGAAGAACAAGTGTGATATCTTGAAAGATGACAAATTTTACAACATTGTTCAATCTAAGCCGCTAGGGGGCATGAGATCCCACCGCATGGCCAGTTGAAAGAAAAACAACACCGTAAGTGGCAAATAAGTTTGCCACATCCACCCCATTCTAGGAAAAATCAAACTAGGATAACCACAAACACTACTCAAGATGGAGGTGGTGACCACGTGAAAAAATCTAATGCCACCAAAGTGGGCATGAATCAACAGAACCCTCATTGTCATTTGTCCCCAAAGCCTCCACTGAGTGGATAGGGGGGCAAGTTCAATCAACCCCAACATGGAGTTGCCACACCAATGTTGGCTGGAAACACTACAAAAAAATGTGCCTACGACAAGGTTTTTTTTAACTTATACCAAGGGTTTTAACCCTTGCTACAGGTAGTAGCAGGGGTTGCCCAACCCTTGCTAATGACCCTTGGCAAAGCCGCCCTTGCTACATATAGCAAGGGTTTTAGGTAACCCTTGGTGGAAGTCCCTTGCAAGGGTACGTAGCAAGGGTTATAACCTTTGCTAAACATAACAAGGGTTAAAACCATTGCTACAGACAGCTAAAATATACACAAATCGATGTCAATTATCGGTCGCTAAAAATTATTATTTGTCGTTAATGGTAACTTACAAGTAGCAAGGGTTGGAAACCCTTGCTACATGCCGCTAAAATTAAAAGAAATCCAGGTAATTGGTTTTTCGGCTAGAGAAACATTCCAGGGATAACATAGGTTCGATGAGAGTCCCTTATTGGCCAGTATTAACTTTATTATATAAAAACCTACAAATGGTTGTACAACACAAATAATTCTTTCCACCACAAATTCTATGATTTATAATCTTAAGAAAATATAAAACCAAAATCATTCATTAAACATTCTAAATAGTCTATGTTCTAACATGTTCTCCCCCATCAATATCATCATTTCCATCCTCGAAAGAAGTTTTTGCTTCACCGTTTACTCCATTATTTGCCTAGCATCTTCTGTTGCTTTTGCTTCTGCATCTCTGCAGCTTCTAACGCACTAAGGAGAATCCATAGAACGAGCTGTTGTATTCCATGCACAAATACAGAAGCATCTGTAAAAATTGAGATAGAAAAACTCTAAATCCTGCTAATTGGGTTAGTAATGCTGCTACAGGTTATGATACAGTCTGCAAAATGAATTGCCAAATACATAATACCTGTACAAATCCCATTTGAAGATCTTAAATTCTTTCTAGAGAAGAAAGTTGCTTCACTTGTTCAAATGCGCAGGCTAAGCAAAGAATCAACCAAAATATCAGGATAGAGATTATTACTCGAATTTGATGGATAATTCTGGAGGCTAGCATAAGAGGTCGAGAACAAAAATGTGGAAATGCTATAAAGACACTGACTAATAATGATTAAGATGAGCTTCCAACAACTAACAAATCTGAACATGTGCCGAACTTATTTTCAACAGTAAAAAATGTTTCCAAACTTTAAGTATTGTTGTTAAGTAACATTTCACTCTTCTTAATCTCCTAGAGTTTGAGTTCATAAGGCTTACCTTTGATTACTTTAGGCAATCTTTAAAAATCTGCTGTAGTACATAAAAATGTGTCCCCTGATGAAAGCTCTCTATAATATATCTTTGAAGAAGACTGGTCCACTGATTCAGCAAGCTAAGTCAGGTAAATGAAAGAAAGGACCATATGACTCGTGAACAAGAAAATGAGCTTCAGAAAAGGACCATAACTTGTATGCTTTGCCTACTTTTGCACAACATCTGATAATGATTCACTTTTGCTTCCAACAAAAGAGGCCCACAAAACTGCAAAGTGGAGCAAAGAATGAACTATGGAGTGGTACTACTTGAGAAAAGAGTAAGTCACAAAAGATCTAAAAGAAAATGACTAAAGCAAGGACCTGTGAAATTGTCCTGAAGCCATTTGGAGTTCTTGGAGATGTGACTATCCCACCACCAAGACTAGAGCCTCCTGGACTCCGAATGCACTAGGGTAGCCATGAGTCCACCCACCAACAAAATGGCAAGTGGCTTGGACCTAGCAATAGACTGGTTTCTCTACCAGAAAGTACATGCTGCAGTAGTGGATCCAGGTCAGAGTAACAAATACAAATCTGTTAAACCACTCCCCCCATTTAGTTAGGAGGATTTTGCAAATTCTTGTTTGTTAGACTTATTCTTGTTCCTGTACACAGAAAGCATCAGCTGAGTCAGAGAAGCAACAAGTAGAATCACAATTTCATAGGTTTCTGGAGTCGCAAACTCTTGATCATACCTTCTGAAGTAAAGGTGGAGCAAATCTGTAGCAAAATGGAACACCCCAAAATCCAGTAGATGAGCTGAAATGGAGTTGGATCTTCAAGTTAGGAACACTGTGGAGAGAAGACAGAGAAGAAAAATATGTATCCGTAATCAAAAGAAGAATGTGCAGCAGGGGGGAAAGAGATTAAACAGAAAGAACAGGTTCCAATGAACATTGTTTTCACAGCTGCAACATTGTTATCCAGTGGTGTTCAACTTATAATTGTCCATCCAATTAGCTTTCATTGCCTACCACTTAACAAACATTAATGTATCTTATCAGCAGCAGAGGAAATTCGAAATTTGAGCAGCAATAAGAAACCAAAAATGCCTAACCTGCCAAGTAATCCGGTCGAGCTCTTTAATCAAATAAACCTTATGGTGCGAATTCTGCCATAACCTAACATCCACCAACCAATTGAGAGAATAATCGAAACCCAAAATTTATGCAATTATTCACCGGAGTAAATTGCGAGAGCGATTTACCGAGAGAGAGGGTGTGTGCATCATCGGGGCGTTACCGGCCGGTGACGTAAATTCAAGCAAAATTAGCGAACATCGAGAACAACATAGTCGGGATCCTCGATCTATAACCCAAGCCAGATCCTCTGCTCCCTCCTCCTTCACTGGCACTACTGCTAATGCCGCCGCCGCCGCCAAGCATCTTCTATCCATACTAATAAAATCTCGAGGCTTCACAGTAAATAAGGAACGAACAGGCCTGAAGTATTTCAGACTTGACCTAATTTATAAACACTCTATCCACAAACACTCAATTCTTCGAAACCCTACTACCCGAACTTACACAACTTGAGTTCTGCCTTCTCCAGCTTGACCGCAACTTGCTCCAACGGCCGCCAGAGAGAGAGCTCACGCGCGCATGAGAGAGAGAAAGACTGAAAGCTTTCAAGAGAGTGAGAAAGAGAAAGAGAGAGAACCTTATCATCGAGCAGGAGAATCAGAGAATTTACATCGTTTTTCGCCGGATCGAGAGAGAGAGAGATCGGAGAATCGCCGCTGATTCCGTCGGTGGAAGAGTTTTCCACCGAATCGAGAGTGAGAGATCGGAGAATCGCCATTGATTTCGTCGGTGGAAGAGAGAGATCAATGTGCATTTTCGTTTCTCGGGCATAGGATCGGAGCTGGAAATTGGGGATTTTGTTGATGGAGGGGAGATGGCGAGAAGAATTTGCGAAAATAGGGGTTGGAAAAAGAAGAGTTTCTCCGATAGATAGTTAGTAGTTAAATCCATAGCGGGGGTTTCCAAACCCCTGAACAAACCGGTGAAACGGTGAGTTCGGAATAAAACTAGCTTAGGTTAAATAAACCCTTGGTACAGAACCCTTGGCATAGCTCCCTTTTTTAGTAGTGAAACAAGTCTTCCATGATTTTCGGGCAGGGGGGTAAGCTAAATGCCCGAAAAATTCCAATCTCACGTGAAAATTCAAAAGATATCAAGTGGTTTTGTGATAAGTGCAAAAATCAAAATAACCACATGACTGTTGGTGAAGCTCGTAAGCCTCAAACTCAACAACGTCGTAAGTGTGTGCAGCTGACAAAACAAGACCAGTCTAGGCAACCGATGCCACATGGTCGATTTGGCAGGACAAAGACGTTAAAAAACTCCAATGTCCCGCCAAGAGTTAAAAACACCGGTGATTTTCTCTGCCACTGCCCTATGGCTAAGATGAAGCCAAATCGAGCTAGTGGAATTTCAAACAATGGTGTTCGAGCTCGACGAACTGGAGAGTTACTGTAAGGCAAATGAGTGTGGAGCAATCGAGGAGACGAAAAACTGAGCAACATGCGTTGGATTTGGTCTTTGAGGAAAGTGTTTCCGAGGGCGGGAACCACTTCGTGTGGGTTCTTCTCTGCCAGAAGGTCTTCTCCTGCTTCTTTGTCGAGGATGTTGTAGCAGATAACCTTGAGCCAGGTGGTTCCGGTTTTGGTGAAGGATGTCAATAAAATGCCGTCGTTTCTCGGCTCGAATCCTGACCTGAATGCGGCGGTGCCATCCATTGCCGCCACGAAATACCCGAAACCTTCTATCTGTCCGATATCGTGTGAGTTCCAAAACAACTCCTTTGGCATATTATTCATCTCAGTCAAAACAAGGCAATACACACAATAGTACGTACTACAATTTGAAGAGACAAAATACTGATGTGCTTATCCCTATCAGCGCTATATAGTAGCAAGGGGTCAACTTTAGTGGCGGATCCATGGGGCTTTAGGAGTATCTCGTAGGGATGGCAATTTACCCACCCATGGGTAATTTTGCCCAAACCCAAGTAGACCCATTTATTATGGGTAGGGTTTGGGTGATGTGTGTATGGGTTTGGGGTTTGTATATGGGTTTGGGTTAGATATGAATATTATCTAAATGAGTATGGGTTGGATATGGATATCCATTTACTTGAGGGTGTTTTAACTACACATGCAAAAATTGGACTTATTTGTAAAATTTGAAAAATTTAGGTACCAAAATGTAAGACCAAAAAAATTTAGGTACCAAAACGTAATTTCCATCGATATTTTGAGGACTTATATGAAAAAAAATTAGGTGTTAAATATGCATATCTATTAAGTATAGGTACCAAACTGTAATTTGTATTTGGGCATGGGTACAAATCCATTTGTTATAAACCCAACCCAACCCAAAGTAAATGGGTATGGGTACAAACCCATCAAACTTTACTCATATCCATATATTTGGATTTCATACCCAACCCAATTGGGTTGGATAATAAAATACCCATGGGTATGGGCAAAATTGCCATCCCTAGTATCCCGGGAACACGATTATTCAACCCCCGATAGTAGTTTGCATATAGGTTTAAAAAAATATTTAAGTGGTAGCGGGACAGTACTAAAATTTGGAAAAACCATTATAATCCCCTAACAGTAGTTTGTGTATGGGTAATATAAACATTTAAGTGGTTGCCTATGTGATTTGAACTACTTGGGTTGATGCTACTATTAGTAAACATATTTTTCATTAGACTATAACTCATTTGTTCTTGTATTTCAAATCCAAATATAATAGTAAAAGCTATTTTTTATCCCAATTATTTTCAAAAGCTAACGATTAAACCCAATTACGGGCTCCCCTAGTCTAGTAGGATATATCGAGAGAGATTTATAGAGCATTGTTAGACAACAATTGTATTTTACAATTTTTCCAAAGTACGGAACCCGTCATGTGTTTTGTTGTACTTTGGACAAATCAGATATTTTCTTATTTAATAATTATTTAATTATTAATTAAACTTAATTTTTAGAAGAGAACACCCCGATATAAAATTTATGGATCCACCACTGAGTCAACTTATTGACCAAATCCTTTCTTATACACCGGTTGACATTGGAGCATTGTGATTGTGAGTCCTTACCCTCAACCAAGATGTCAGTGGTTCCAAAACTTTTTTTAAACACCAAGTTGTCATTGGTCATTGTAACAGTGACTTCTTACATTAACTAAGCGGTCAATGGTTCCAAAATGTTTGTTATACAGCAGGTTGTTGCTAGCCATTGCGATTGTTAGTTATGATGCTCAACCGAGTGGTCAATGGTTTCAAAAAACGTTTGTTATACCCCAAGTTGTCACCGGAGTGGTTAGTGGTTCCAGAGCGTTTGGCATACCCCGAGTTGCCATTCTTGTTATACACTCAACCAAGTTGTCACTGACCACGTTTGATGCGGGGCGGGTATGAGTATTGCAGTACTTATAATTGTGTCTTCCCTTCCAAGCTAACCATATTGTTGTTATCAGCTTAATTGAAGCCTGTATTGGAACAATGATCTAAGATGTAGAAACTTTCTCCATAAACAAGACCCCACTTGAATCTCAGAAATCTCCCAAATTGTTCTGCTCTTTGGTCTATGTCTCATAATCCATGGCCACCCACAAGGATCCACCTTCCATTATCAACATCCATATCATTCTGACTGCACAAGCAATACTCAAGTCAAGTGTATAGATCTTTCAAGCCAAATCCACCCTCTTCTTTGGGCATTGCTATCAACTCCCATATGACTTTTGTCTTTCCAGTAGTTTCATATTTAATTTTTCGTGAAAAATTAATTATGTAGTTCTAGAAAACCTAGTTTAGTTTCCCATGTTGGAAAATATGAAACTTCTGAACATATTTGCGGTTCTTGACTTCTTGTGCAACTTTGGGACCCTTTTGCTTTTCATTTTTAATAAAATTTTGATGGTTTACATGAAAAAAAAACTTCGTCAACATTTATTCTATGTAATACGGTATCATAATGCGAACTTATTCATTAAAAGGAACTTGAGAAATGTGTGTAAATTCACATTTGGAAATATTTGCATTTAAAGCGTTCACATAAAAAATCTGGAGTTACACACAAAACAAGGTTTACATATATTATGATATATATTGGCAAGTAGAAACTCTGAGATTGAAGTAGAAAAGATAAAATATAGACGAGCCACGACTGACAGAGAAATCTATATGTCAATTCAATATCCATGTTGCTTGCTAGACGGGGGCAACACTAAACTGAAACGAAAAAGTAGTAGAAAATCGCATAAACTAATTTAGCTATTAATGCGCTGAGCCATTTGTGGATTCAAGTAATTCTCCCAATCTCGTACCGTTCCTCTCCTGAAGAAGGTGGAATTGAGCACATGGTTCAGCTCCCTGATGCCACTCTTGTTAACCTCCAACTCCTTGAGCCTGTCCAGGCTGCTCCGCCACAGTACCTTCTCCAGCTCACCATCCCCATCCATGAGCAAGGAAAATGGCTTCCCGAGAAACAAAGCTAGCTTCCTGACCTGCTCCTTCGGCTCTCTACATAGCTCCTCGTACTTGAGAAACAACACCTCCTGAGGCCGCCTCCGGCTCTCCTCCCAAAATCCCACCACATGCTCGTGAAAGGGCCCGAAAGGCAGAACCCCACTACAGAAGCTCTCCACCGCTCCCTCCAACGGGTACGGCTGGTCACCTGGTCCACTTTTCAACACCTTGTTGTAGAAATGCCACATCGACACCACCGTGTCCTTGGGATTCCGAGCCAGGTACACGATCTTGCATCCGGACTCCCTCACCGCCTCCGGCAGGTAACTGTAAGGCAGGTGCGTGTGGAGCAGCCGGGGAGGAGGGGAACTGAGCAGGATGTCTTGTGTTCGATCCTCGAGGAAAGTGGTGTCGAGTGTGGGAACCACCTCGTGGGGGTTCTTCTTTGCCAGCAGGTCCTGTTCTTCTGCTTCTTTGTCGAGAATGTTGTAGCAGAGTGCCTTGAGCCATGTCGTCCCTGTTTTGCGGAACGTCGTCAAGAGGATGTCGTCGCTTCTCGGCTCGAATCGTGACCGGAAGGCGGCCATGCGGTCCGCAAGCGGCACCTGGTACCAAAAGCCATCTATCCGGCGGATTTGGTGAGAGCTCCAAAACAACAACTCCGTCGGAGGTTGCTGATTGCTCATCAGATAGAAACAAGTAATATACTTGCCCTACTGCCCAATAATTCCACCAGCTGTGGGATGTTGCAATATATACTTCACTACAACAAAAACGGTCTACTGCCACGTTTTTATAGTGACACTTTCCACAAACGTCACTAGAATGAAAGAAAAAAATATTTTATGCGACATTTACTCTAAACGTTACACTTGTATAGTCTATGGTGACAATGATGGTGACGTTTAAATTTTGATGGAGGAAAGTAGTGTTGGTGCGACATTTGTTTAAATTAAAATAACACTTAGCTAAATGTCGCTATAAATTCTTTTGCTGGTAGATTCTTCTGATGATTAAAAAAATGTCACATTAAAACTTAGTGTGTTGCGACATTTTTTTACATCACATTCGACAAATTACTGGGTTAGTTATAGCGACACTTTCCACAAACGTCACTAGCATGATGGAAAGAATCTTTATACGACATTTACACTAAACGTCACACACTTGTATAATTTATGGCGACAATGATTGTGACATTTAGATTATGATGGTGGAAATCACCATTGTTGCGACATTAATTTTAATTACAACAACGCTTAACTAAATGTCGTTGTAAATTTTTTCGTGGACAGGTTGTTCTGACGTTTATAAAATTGTCACTTTAAAACTATGTCTATTTCGACATTTTTTTTCACGTTACATTCAAAAATTACAGGGACTGCAACAATTTTTCCGAATTCAGAAACCCCATAGGAAAAATATCAAACGCGAAATAACAAATAATTAAAATATATTGTTAGGGTAGCATTACGCTTGTGTATTATGTTATCTTCAAAAGTAAATAATAAAGAAAACCCATACATATTGAGAAAGACACTATTGACTATGGATTTTTGTTTCTTATAGAAACAGAGAGAACTAGCATTAAAATAAATAAAATGTTACATCTTATGGAAGGTAATTATTAAGGAAAAGTATAAGTGCATATCAAATATATAACTAAAAAGAGAAATTATGTTCATGAAATAATTTTGAGGAAAAATACTAGCTAATCTCCCATCTCAAATGTGTCTCGAGGCTTAACTCGAACAACAACACTCCAACCTGCTTCTGTTCCATCTTGAACATAAAACACTTGTTCAACTTGTGAAGCAAAAACAAATGGTTCATCGTTCAAGTGTCTACCTGTATGAACCACCTTTGAAAAGTTGACCAATGTATAGCCAAATTTGTCTTTCTTCACCCCTCTTCCTCTTTCGACATCAACCCAATCACACTTGAATAACACAATCCTGAATCTTTCATAATAGTTCAGCTCTATGATATCATTTATTCTGCCAAAATATTCTATAGCCTCTGTAGAAGTTGATGTTTCTGACATGACAACCACACCACTGTTTTGAGCTTTTGTAGATTCTTCCCTGCCTTCAGAGTGGAATCTAATCCCTCTTATGATATATCCACTAAATCTTCGAACCACTTTATTTGGACCCTGGGATAGCCATCTTACATGTTCAGTTACACGTGGGTCTTTCATATCTGATAACCTGGAAACCTAATTAAAATAAATATTAATTTGTTAGAAAGAATATGTCACTAGCATAGTTATATGAAAATTTAAATAAATGATCACGCCATTTTATTTTGTCAATTATACTTACATGACCCTTT